GATGTTGACTGTGGACTCAAAGTTGGAGCTTTTATTTGATAGTGAGTAGTAAACAGGGATTAAAGTCATATATGTTGTAAATCCTGCCATGTGTGCTATTTTTTGTTATCTATATTTATAACAAGTATAACATTTATTGTCAAAAGGCCTTGGTGAATCAAATCAAAGGCAGCAATCTTTGAAAGGCTTTTTTTAATGGAGGCCTTGCTTTGTGGTTTCAATTCTATTTTGTGTGAGATATTCTTTGACGGTGTGAATACAAACCCAACTGTCCTTCAACTTCTTAAAGAAAAAAACGCTCAAAACCACAAGGTTAAAATATATCTGCTGCATTTCGTGCAGCCTGTAAAGACAATTTACTGTCAATGTAAAGGTTTCCTGTTGATCTGTGGTAGAATGCCAAAAAACAAGGCCACACCGGAAATCATTACAGCCCCATTTTGTTACATCCACTCCTTCTTTTTAACACAAAGAGCTCTGACAAGTTTTGGATTTTAAAGTTAGACATTAATTCATTGTGTTGGCTATTTTAAACTTTTGTCAGATATCTGTGCATTGATGGGTATGTAAGTCAGTTGAAAAAAAAGATTGAGAGAAACTGCCTTCTTTAAACCAAAGGCAAAGTTGAAGCATGGACATAATCGACTAATTGTACACTGCAGATGTGTCATGTAATCAAATTCCAACTAAAATATAGTCACTTTTGTGGTAAACAAGAAAGTGCCAAAGGTATACATGTACTCTGAAACAAATTTGAAATTCTATTAACTTGAAATGGAAAGTAGTATAAATATGGTTAAGTTGTTTTAACTTGAAACTGTACGTTAGAATAATGCAGAAATGTATGTCGGCTAGACTAGTTAAGGGACGTTTTCTTTGCACTTTCTTGCAGTTCAATCAACTAAAAAACAACGAGGCATCAGATTTATCAACATGAATTTGTGAGTGGTAACAAAGGCAATCTTCTGGTTGAGTTAACTTGCATTTTCAAGGCAGCAGATGAACTTGCTTTTCAACGTTAAACTAACTTTTACAGTGCAGGAGAAAGCCATGTTAAAAAGTTAAACTCTCATAAAGCCCAATTAAAGTACAGAAAACAAACAAATCAGTGGGCACCGCTGTCCAACTACTTTTGTATATTTCTGTTCTGGGGCTGATTTTTCATGGTTTCAGCCAAGCCCCTTAGTTACAGATTACAATGATATTTAAGACAACTCTGTGCTTCCACGTTTGTAGCAGAAGTTTGGGGAAGGCCCTTTCATGTTTCAGCATTGGCAATACCGTGGCACACAACAAGAGGTCCATATGGTTTTCTGATGTTGGTGTGGAAGTACTTGACTGGCCTATACGCCTGAACTCAACACGATGAATTGAAATTATGTTTTTGTGGCTGAAAGCAAATCCCTCATACAAGGCCTTAGCTTAGTTTCACCCGCTTCAATTGAAACGGGCCCCGCCATCCAAAGGGCCCCGACTGACATGCAAGAATTCAATAATTCACCCACTTTTAAAATAAACTACTTATTTCACTCAATGCATAGAGACATAAACATGGGAAGAATGGGTGCTTCAACCTACTCAGCCCCCCAAAAATCTGGCATCATAAAAACCATCAATTGATCATAAAAAATACAGCAGAGAGAGAGAGAGGTAGAGCTCAGACCGGCGAGAGAGACAGGAAGCATGCGAGTATGAACAGAAGCGTGGACGTGATAATAGCATTTTCCACAGTTCTGTGGTTTATCAGTGAAGTGTATGAACTACACTGCAGACTGGAGTCTCTGTTAACAGTGACAGCCACTCATATCCTCCATGAATCCGTATCCTCACTGCGCTGCATTATTATGAACTGTGATGAACTGGTCGTGGTCACACCTCTCTCTCGTCCAGGTGCTGTCTCTCCCTATTCCTCTCCTTCGGTTCTCACGCATTAGTTCCTGGTGGTGACTGCGTTGTTGCTGTGGCTGCTCTGACAAACAGTATGTTGGTGCTCAAGAGTGCTGTCTGCTGTAGTGTAAAACCTTCTCAAATTGTTGCAAATTGTTGTTAATATGTATTAGATTTAAGTTATCCTAAAACATGAATATCAATAACAAAAACACTTTAGTATTACTATAAAGAATTAGAAATTCCACAAACAATAATAATAAAATAGGCAATAAAAATAGTTCAGTATCAGTATCACTATAGTAATTCTATGTTTTTTGGAACACACTAGAAAATGACAATATTAATACTAGTTGAGTTGGCTATGGTGATCTTACAGTTAAGTTATAGTTAATACTATAGTTCTTCCTGTAGTAGTACTACCCTATGGTTTTTAAGGGAATTACTATAGTATACTATATTATTTAAATTGTATTACTCTAGTGTTTTCTATAGCTTCTATCGCACGCACTACAGAAAGTTACTAGAAATACTACACATTTACTATAACATCATCATATTATTACTATAGAAATGTTCTTTCATGTGTTCAAAAAACAACTACAGAAACACTAACATACTACAGTAATAATAAAAATAATATCATAATACTACAAGATGTCCAAATCAATCTTGTGTTAGCGTTAATATGCGAGTGAAGGCAGTTATGACAGCATATTAATGCACATTAATGTTTTGGAATGAGACATTCAATTGCATAGGAGTAATGTTTGGGTATCCACATACGGTATATGCATGCATTAATCATTACACTGTTTGCTGGGAACCCTCTGTCTATACAAAAGCAGGAGATGCTAAATAAGACAGCCATCATCTTTTTATCCTCCAATGTTTATGGAATAACTTTGTTGTATACAATGTGTGAGAGGTCCTGCAGTTTTTGAGGTAATTAGGAGAAAAATCTCGGCAGGTGGACTTTAACGGAAACTGATGAATCATGGAGTTACCCATGAGAGAGATACGGAGAGAATATATATCCCTCTGTCACCATGAAGGTTGGGAAATTATTTATTGATCCTCTGCAGGAGAGCACCGATGGTGGTCACTCTTGATCTCTCTTTCTCTCTTTGGACTTTGTTGGGCTTGTTTAGTCTGAGAAGAGGAGTTTGAATTAATGCAGACCCATGAAAGACCTCCCACCATGTCTTATAGACAGTCTGCTGCGCTCAACTATTCAGCCCAATATAAATATCCACCGCCTGCACCAACACAAGAGCCTGATTTCTAAGCATCCAGCTGTGGTTGTGAACACTTTGTACACTGCAACAAAAGCACAAAAAGATCACATGCAGACGGGCTGAATCTTTCTTTTAAGAAACATCAGAGAGGCTTGCAATGCATGATATAAACACAACTCTACGGGGAGAAAGTTTCCTGTAGGGCGCTATAGGTGCAAGATTTAAAATTGCATACTGCGGTCTTACCAAGTATATGTGAGCATTTATCATTATTGGAGCAGGTGAAACAACAAGTGTTTAAAGTTAAGTGCGATGAGGCTTGTGTAATGAGCAGAAGAGTCTAAAACTTGAGTTGTGAGTGTTTGCAAGGCTTCACTAAGCTCTCAAAAATTATAATGGCTTTAAATTGACCCCAAAAGCATCCATGCAAAGACAAAAGCTGTCCAAAATATGTTGAAAAATTCTGAAAAAAAGAACAATTATTTGTTGTTAATTAATTGTTCTCTCACTGTCTTTTCAGGAACCAACTGTCTGCAAATCCCAGCCAGGCCACAAGTTTCATGATTTATCGTCTTGACCGTATTAAGAGAACATATTCCCTCTTTTCAAGGAAAAGTCAGCCAGTCTGTATTTTGTTTTCTCCTTAGTAGGGCCAATTACTGCAAGCCATGTCAAAAAAAAAAGTTGTTGCTACCTCAAAGAATGGGAGGAATTATCTCTATAGCCTGAACACTCACACACACTGAGCACAAACACACACACACACACACACACACACACAGAAATGACAGCCCAGTTGCCACAGAAGAAGTGATAAGAGGCACCACAGCAGCATGTGAAAAAAGGGCAGTGCTTACTGCACATCCTTATTTCCCTCAGCTCAAAGTGAAGCATGTTAATGCACCTGTCATATTCTGCACTCTGAATCACAACTATGGAAGCAGATATAACGCATAGACCATGTTAACTATGTGGAAAGAGGCTGATTCAGCTTTGCTGAGTCAATAGTCATCTTCAGGGATGTTGCAAATCCATGACCACATGTAGGAACAGATAGTGTTAGTTTGTTAGTTAGGAGTTGTTGCTTTTTTTTGTAACTTGATAAGTCATTTGGTCCATACTACATCAGAAACTGGTCAAAAATGCCCACAATAATTTGCCAGGGTCTCAAGCTGATGCCTTGAAATTGTTTTTTTTTTTTTTTTTTGGTAAACAAAATCTAAACTCCAAATGTATTCAGTTTACTGTGATTGGTGGAGGAAGCTGAAACCATCAAATGTTTTTCTTGAAAACCAATTGAAATAATTGATCCATAGTACTGAATAATTTTGTTCCATGGTTATTTGGCATGAAGAAATTGAGACTGGGCCATGGGTGTACTAATTCTGCTTACTAAAATACTGAGATAAAACTATTCTTCATTTTGATCAGGAACCTGGAGCCAGCTAACACACACCCTGGGAGTCCCACGAGCAACCTACCCCCTATGCCTTTGCTATTATTTTGTATGGCACTTGGTTACACTGTCGGTGCCAAAGGCTGATAGTTGGAAAACTCATCTGCATGGCTGCCAAGTATTGGCTCTTCCCTTTTAGGGCTTCCCCGATGACTGCAATCACGTTGATTGAATAGTTAACATTCTCGTTATTCCACGTAAATATAGCCTAAGTTATTCTAATTACATCACAACAAAGTCCTAATCAAATCTAAATTACGGAATTTAAAGTGAAAATGTAATGGCCACAAAGAGAGGGTGATGCGCAAACAATCATGAACAGAAAACGCCGAAAGACCATGCATGCAATGGAAATGCTCATTAAAGCAAGTAATGAATAAAATTCAAGAAATTACTTCATGGTGGCGGTGCAGTCTTACCGATGGTCGAAATGTGAGAAGGGTGAAATTCATTGTCCGTGAATCTGCAGAGCAAACATGTTTTCCCAACCCCAGAATCTCCGAGAAGCAGGAGTCGGAAGAGCACATCGTACTGCTTTGCCATAGTGTTGGATATAGTGTTGAATTAAAAAAGCCCCAGTCAGCTAACTCAGCGATTGACCAGTCCCTCCCCTCCTGCATCCCATGTCTGCTCAAATGGTCAACATAAAGCTTTGGCTATGCTTCTTTTTCTTCACTGATTCTGGGTCGGTGGGGAACAAAACAGGGATGCTCCAGCTTCCCAGGCAGCCTCCAGCTTCCAGTGGGCGCGGTGGACCATTGTCATGTAAGACTCAATGAGAAAAGGAGACTTCCGGCAGTGCTTTCCAACATAAAAGCCTAAGGCACTTGAGATTTATGTGGTTCAAAGATGATTAGATAAATGTTTTGGTGGCAAATTCATAGCACGATTGGTTTCCCTCCCCACAAGATATCTTTATAACAATATGAATGTCAGGATAATATTAAACCTGTGAAATCTTTATCTATCTATTAGTCTAGTTTTGGTGTTATTTCCATCTATGAATTAAATTAAGGCATATATATATATATATATTGTGGCCACGAATTAATATATTTTCTGTTAATGTCACCAGGGGGGCTCCATAGGACTCCTATTTCATGGAAGAGGATTATTGAGCCTGTAAATGCCCCCGCTAGACGTTTCTAAAGGTGCATGTGCATGCATTGAATAACACCACATCTCAAATGTCAACCTGTGTGCTAACTGTGTGGCAGTGATCAATAAAGTGTGAACATCAGTGGCATCATCCCCTTTTTCTAATTGGAGAGCTTGAAATGTTCCAGAATTTTCTAATCAGCTATTTACAAACAAATAAGCAATTTATTAATTTGCCACTAACTAACACACTGAACCTGGAGTTTAACTTTGAACTGTGTAGCCTACATTGCACAAATTTTTTATTCTTTATGTCTCATATTGCGAATGTTTGCACATTCCTTCTTAATTACCCTGTGTACATATTGTTTGCATTTTATGTGTTACTATTATTGTATTTTTTGTATACTGCACATTTTTGAGCTCTTTACTATATTTATGTTTATCAATCAATCAATCAAACTTTATTTCTAAAGCACATTTAAAACAACCGGGTTGACCAAAGTGCTGTACATTGACATGAAACAGTAAATAGACAAAATACAGCACCAGACAAATACAACATACAGTTCTCGTGCCAGATTAAAAGCCAAGGAATAAAAATGTGTTTTAAGTCGCAATTTAAAAACCGGTCTGACATGAAGAGGCAATTCATTCCACAGGCTGCGACTGAGAAAGCTTGTTCCCCCTGCTCTTGAGCCGTGTTTTAGGGACAACAAGAAGAGACCTTGAAGGAGCATGTGGCTTCAACAAATCAGTGATTATGTGTTCTTTTAAGCACCAATACATAGCCTACTAAGGTTTATTTCTTGTAGCCTATGTGAAATTCTGATTCTGGAGGCATCAGGCCCTCTCATGGTCCCTGGCCACAGGGGAGTCAACAGCTTTGTCTGGATGGTAAACCAGTCTTGACAACAGACAAGTAGAAGAAGGCTGTCTGTAACTTTGTGTCAGGCTATATTTATATAAAAATGTGAACGTTTATTCTTCAGAACCACTTTTGAGGATTTATTTTGCAGGATCACACCACTTCCGGTACTATTGTGTTTAGTTTGCAGATCGACGGTGCGCGGCAGCAGTGCTTCTTTCTTCGTCAGTGGCACAAACACCTATGAGAGCAATATGGATTAAATTAAACTGGGACACGGAACAGTCACACGTATAGTCACTCGTTAACTCATAATTTGCAATAAAATTAACGTCAAACACTTTTTCAAGAGGTTGTGAGTGGCTGTGTGCCGTATTTCACACTAAAGCGAATGAAAGAGGTTTGTTCCCTTGGAGACGCCGTAGCGGGTGTGCGCGCAGTTTCCGCCCACTACAATCTCGACAGGAAGTGAGCAGGAGTCCGCTGAAAGTGAGCGAACTATCAAAACAAACTAAAAGCATCCCTGCAGTTCACGGGTCATATTATCAACATGGACGGTGTGACGACGTCTTTGCGGTGCTTCAGTGAGCGCCATCCCGCAGAAATGTTCGTGGACGACGGGGTGGAGACTGTGACTTCAGTGGAGCAGGTGAGCGGAGGCAGATAATGTGGGCTAATGCTAATGCTAATGCTAATGTGATGGAGTGGCAGCTTTCTACTCTGGATGGAGGCGCGTCTGGAAAAGTGTGACACAGATTCAACTGTCACTGTCGTAACCTCCCCTCATTCGGCTCATCGATTAGGAAAAAAAATGGGAAACTGCTTCGCGCACATTATCTCGCTGTGCTTTAGCTAGCCTAAGTTAGCAAACTTGAGCTTTTAGGTAGCTAGCTTTGTATCTTAAAGAGATTAACTTAAATATGCATTAACTTAACTGCTAGTTAAGCAACTTAAACAGTTAAGCCCGGGTACGACAGACCATGTGACTTTATTGTACGGCTTTTAATGAGACTCCAACGAACAGCTGCACATCAATTAGATATTTTAAGCTCTTGACTTGCAGTTAATTAGTGTGTGGTTAATTCATGCCGTAGTAATGCGTTAAGAGCCACGTGAAAGAATAGTGACCCCTTAACTCTCATGACAAAGGAGTTTTCCAATGGAGATCTTTGGTGATATTAGGTAATCGCATCAAGCGTAATCTGCAAATATAATTTAATTGTTTACTTTTTCATATTTAAATAGGGGACTGTGCATGTTCGTCAAACATTGTCATTTTATAAACACTGATGTACATATGCTGAGGTTAGCTGAACAGCTAATTTGAACCCATCCGCTAAGTATCAAGTGCCACAGAAGTGCCAAAGATAAGTCTGAGGTAATTTAGAAACCCTGTGGCTCTTGTTTATCTTACAATTGTAAAAAATCATGTTTAGTACATATCTAGGTCACAGTGCTTTGATAATAAACCATTGCATATTTCATCATGATATGATAATCAGCATCAGGTTTATTGCCAGGTACATTTTCACACATGAGGAATTTGCCTTGGTAAATGTTGGTGCTTAACAGCTAATAAATATAGAAATATAAATCTAGTAAAGAGATCAATCAGCACAATGCAACACATGTGATGTTTGTAGTTTTAAGTGTGCTCTACAAACAGAACCTACCTCTGCTCTGCGTTTGACTAATGGAAATGACTAGCTGATAAAAGGCAGATTATGTTATTGATATTCTTTAGCTCATGATGACCTTCATAATGACTGTTTTCACTCTCCTCTTTCCTGCCCCTTTTCTTTTATAACTAGAAAAAAGTGGAACGCTGCATTGAAGAAGTCATCAGTGTGTACAAGCAAACACACAGCGTACCACTGTAAGTATCCAGGGTGTCAGCATGCTGCAGAACATTTGTGCTGCTACAGCTCATGAGCAGCTTCTTAACAAAAAGAACAAGTTCCTACAAATGGATGCACAGTGTGCAATCTTGAATGTGGTTGAGTTTGGAGTTGAGTTTTTCTACTGTAATACAACTTCAGACTTGAAAAGTGCCCAAGCTACATGATCATAGTTAAAAATAAGTTTGGTTTTGTAGTGCTGTTCCATTAGGTCTACGTTATTTTGACATCTGTGGTTGTGATGATGTTCCATAGTGTTTACCGTCATTCACCCTAACACCTGACAAGAAAATCTCCTCCTAGAAGTAAACCCCGGCCCTAAAAACATTCTCCTGAATGAAAAAAGTCTTTGCATTATATTAACCAGGGGAGATATAAACCATTGTTTTTCTTTAAAGGACTTGCAAAATATTATGAATCCTAAATATTAAGCATAAATTAATCAGATATTGGATTGTTTAAAGTGGAGTCTAAGGATATCCAGGACCTGAGGAATATCTGCTGCATCAATTTTAAAACTTAATAAAAAACTCTCATCATATGTGGGGTGGGAATCAGTAGAGGCCCCAGGATACAATATTATCACGATATTAGTGTCTCGATACGATATTATTGCAATTTTAAGTATATTGTGATGTATTGCAATTTAATACCTATTTTCAAACTTCAAATTATGTCACCACCATCTGTTTTATCTAAAAAGATAAGATATTTGTTTGTTTATCTCACTTTTTCATTCCACTAGATGGTGCTGTTGAGTTTTCTAGTGGACTGAGCAATAGATTTTATTATTCTAGTACCAAAAAGTTAAATTCTCATGTGCAATTTATATAGTAAAAGATTGATACTTCACTGCGTCAGTGTATCAATACAGTATTACTACGGAAAATATTGCGATACTGTGCTGTATTGATTTTTCCCGCCACCTCTAATCTTGGCTCTGTGTGTAGAGGATGGAAAATTAAGTAGCTCTACTTTTGCTTTAGACACGTGACTCTGTTAGGTCAGATATTAACACTAATTATGTAAAATCAGGACACCAAATTGGCCTCACCTCAACTCAGTATATCATAAAAGCCTTTTTATGCTGTACACAAAAATCCTTATCTAACCAACAAATTGGTTAGATAATGTGTAGCTGTAGTTAGCGATGATCATCTTTTCATAAGACTCTCATAGGGTTGGTTACATTTACTGCCATCATGAGACATTTCCAACAACACTGCTCACTGGCTGTGGCTGCTTTTGATTATGTATGTTTGCTGTTGTCTAAATGGTGTGTTGATCAGCTCACATACTCCACATACTGCTGTCAGTCCTCTCTTAATGAGGTGACTCATTTCATTTCTATGACAACTGCGTGGACCTGAATGTCACCAGCGTTGCAGCCAATGGGGGAATGTATTTGGCACTGTAAGAACATGAATGGTATTCATCAGTAGAGAGTGATCACCTGCTTTCTGTTTGGCCTGCACTCACGGTTTAACACCTAGCAGGCAATGATAGGGGTGAGTGGGTTTTTTGAGGTTAATTGCGGGCATCTCGCTTGAAAGGAAAGTGTCCAGGCTGTGGTAATTTTCTGGCCTGCTTGCCAGAATTTTAGCAGTTTAATCAGAAAGGGTGACCCGGGTTTGATTCACACTGCACATCCACTAATGTGTCCTTGAGCAAGACACTAAACCCCTATTGGCTCTCGAGGTGTGTCGACCTCGGACATATATATAATAATTGTATGTCACTTTGGATAGAAACATCTGGAAATGTATGGATTCATTTTTGTTTGTTTTTTAAATTGATGCTGATGTGTAATATTTTCCCACCCACATGTACCAAAACAAAAATGAATTATGGATATGGACAAATACTGGTGCAAATACTGTCTTAAATCAAGTGGTTTTAAAACAAGACAAAAATCGAGCAACAAAAATCTGTTGATAATTTGACGGTGGTATTAAGTAGACAAAAATCATTACTGAAGAAAAAAAGAGAGGCGTTTTTTGTGGCCTTTATATTGAATATATTTTTAGGTGCTATTGGCCTGAAACAAAGTACGTAAGGAAGGCAATCCCAAAGTGCATTCAAGTTGACTTCTGCTATTAATGAAATAATAAATAATGCAAGGGGGAAAAATCTACTATTTAGTGAATTTACAATCAGGAATTTAGAAATATTGAAGCCAGGAATCCAACTTCCCCCACCGCAACTCCAGCCCTGTAAAAAATGTTTGACCAGATACCAAAACAGCTTTTTTTACATTATGTTTGTTCATATTCTTTCAGCTCCTTAGATATATCTTCACACTGCCATGAATATCATTTTAGTGGAGAAAATCCCTCAGTTTTGTTTTGATGCAAATTTAATGCTTTTTATTTTCCAAACTTAAACAGTCACTGTTTAAGACACTCTAAAGAATATCAAAGTCAGACCTTTACATTAGCACCATGGCTAATGTGTATGTGATTGTGGATCACAGTAATCCTCAGGTTGTTAAAACCCCCTAATTCCCCAAAACGCAACTGAGTACATGACCTTGCTGATGTTCATGGCAGCTACATCCCCGTGTACTACACAGAAAAGTCACAAAACAAGGACCGTTGCAAAAGTGGCCAAACATGCTGCTACAACGAACATGAGGCAAATAAAAATAATGATTTTTAAAGCTGCTATCTCTGCCAAAACAAAACGTACAATTTTAATAGAAACTGAGATGGTAAGAGATGTCACTGTTGTTTATTACTTAGCCTCAAACATCAGTGTTTGCTCTCTATTGTCTCTTTTTCAGATGCTTGTTCTGCTCAACTTGAGACGGAGATTATTGGTGTAATTTACTTGCACAATCGTCTATAGCCAGGTCTGCCCCTAAACATTTAAACAGCCACGTTGAATCCTTGATGAGCATAACTGGTGGGCAGACTGGCTTTTAGCTGCTTAGCATTGGTCCTTGGGCAGCGATCTGTGACTAACCCTGTGTAGGTAGAGTGTAATTACATCGTCGTCATAGCGAATGCTGCGTGAAAAGGGCAGGTAGTGAATAGGACTGGGTGGGTGGTGAGGAGGGAGGGGGTGTCATCTGTCTTTGACTCACTGACACACATATTGTCGTACACTCTGTGTGTGTTAAAAGATGCAGATGAAAGTTGCACACTGACATTAAAAAGATGGAGGGGAACAGTGTGTGACTTCTGCTGCTGTAACACTGAACTCCCGCTGCTTTGGAATCAATAAAGCGTTATCTCATTTTAGTTTCATGATTTATTTTAATAGGGTAGGGTATAGGGTAAGTATGTATAATGGAGTAATGCCACATACCGCAGCATTAATAATCCAATCAAGTTTGCAGTGTTTATCTCTAGATCTGCCTTTTATACAAATGCACAAAACAAAAAAAATACATCCAATGATACAAAACAGAAAACATAATCTCCTCTCATCTTTCAGTTTTTACAGATTTTCACATGAAATACTGCGACACCTGACAGAAATAAATCAGTTTGAAGTCATGTGTTTGTTCTGCTGGATTTGATGCTCCTTTTTCTACTTTGTTCTTAATGAGGACAGGCCAGAATATTCCCCCGCTGAAAGAAAGTGAATAAAAGATTAGGAGGAAAATGCAAAGGAGCCGCTAATTAGGAGGCGCCGAAAAAACCTAAAAATATCTAAGTAAGTAAATAAAAGAAAAGCTGATACACCGCACTGCCTGCACTCTGTTTCTCTCAGATTTTGTGGTAAAGTTTTATTTACAAATACACTAAAAAATGAAAGTATAATTGACTATGATGGAGCGAGAATCGAGCAAAGAGATTACCTGGTGGACAGCTGATTGCTTAAAACATAAAACCATTTTTCATGTTGTTTTGATGTTATGACCTGAGGTCACAATAGCAAAAGCCTTTAATAATAGCATTTCTGCAAGCGGGAGTGAATAGAGCCCCTTCTTTAAACTGTTTTTTTTATTTTTTTTTGTGATTGATCATTCTCTCCTTTGTTTGGTCTTCAGGCCAACGTTGTTGCGGGAACAACACTACCAATATCTCAAGAAGGGTTTACGTCACTTATCAGATGCTTATGAGGTACGATATCACACTTCCAGCCGGCAAAGAACACACTTAAAACATCTGGCATGGCCATTTGAGCGCATGTTAAACCTCATGACACATACAGTACAACCGAGCACTGAAGTTCACTCAGAGGTCGTATTAGTTCCTCTGTGTCAGTAATAACCAGTAACACTCGCTGCCTCTGGATAGATGTCTGACTGGCTCTCTCTGCTTTAAATAGAAATACCATTGTATGGAAAGTTATGCTTGTCTGCTCCTGGGAAGGTCACCTCTCTTACTGTGTTAAAAATGTATATTATGCTTGTTCAAATTTTTGCAGCTGCCCACAGCCAGCCAGAATATAGACCAAAGTAACTCACACTGGCTAGAAAAGAGAGAGATTTGTTTTGTGCCCACCAGCTCAGAATCATACTGATTTGACTTTAGACCTTTCATTGTTTCCTTTGAAACCAGATTGACAGCAATTGTGTTTATGTGCTGTTACTGTGAAGTACTTATATTTCCAAGTAAACATTGCAAAGTATTGGATGGAAATTAGAAGCTGAGTCATGATATTATTTAACAAAGACATCATTCTATTGTTTTTCTCTATTATACTACACCACAAATTATAATTATATTCTATCATAACACCATATATTTACCAAACTGAAAAGAAGTGGTGTGATATTTTTGTGGTGACTGAGTTTCTCAGCTCTATCGTTTTCCTCCCGTAGGCTCGGCCTCTCCTCTGTGTCTGTGTGGCAGACTTGTGTGCTCTCGTCTCTGTCTCAGACTGACTGATCTCACCATCTCGTTTATTGCTATAATTGGTCATCTGATGCCCATCTTATCATGTGATGTGTGTGTCTGTCTGTCTCTGTGCGGGTAGTGTCTGGATGCTAGCAGACCGTGGCTCTGTTTCTGGATTCTTCACAGTCTGGAGTTACTAGAGGAGCCCATTCCTGCTGCTGTCGCCACAGAGTGAGTCACACTCACACTCTCCACCTAGACTTTTACCAAGGGGCAAAAATGGAGCCAAATAAAAACCTGTGCACTGCCAAAAACTTTATTTATTCCCATTGCATAGTTATCATAACAATTAACTGCAGCAGCTACACCTAAAGTGTGTGTGTGTGAGAGAAATACCCTTCCCACATGGTCTTATAAGGCACAGTCTATTTTTATTTGATTTATTTATGGATCTGCAAGAACATGCAGTCTGAAGGATAACATGTTAAAGTGACAACTTTTATTTCCAACACTGTCCCAAGATTGTTAAAGACATTCACCAGAATCGGCATTATTGCCAAGTAGGTTTAGACATGCATGAAATTTGATTTGGTCACTTTGTTCATTACAGTAAATATAAAATACTAAATTGACAAGGGATACAAAAATGAAATGCGTAACCTAAAATGAAACAACAGAATCTTGAAAACAAAACTACCTCGGTTGTAACGCCACCCAAAAAAATAGAATTAAACAGATTTTTTAAATTAATAGTAACTACTTTATTTTTAATAAAAAGATCTTATTTTTGTCAACTTTATATTTTGTGTGTGTTAAATATATTTAAAAAAGAGCTTCAGGCTACATTATTCACTCGAGGCACGGTGCTGTACGTGACGCACGCTGGCCCTGGTGCTAGAGTCAAAAATACCCTTGCAGTGGTAAATTTGCTTGTGCCAGAAAATTACTTCTTACATACAGTATAACATTTCAAACCAAGAACTTTGTCTTCTCTCCCAGGCTCTGAATATAAAGTCTGCCACTAAAACACAACTCTTGTGTTGTTGGGTATTTTTTTATAATCATCCAACCAGAAGAAATTGTCAGAGACTGAAAGAACATTTTACTAAAAAGTGAACTCTTGAATGATCATATAATGAGCAATAAATCACAAAGATTATTGGTTATTTTTCTAGCGATACTAATCAGAGACTTCATAATTAACTGCAACAATCAATCTTAATTCTCGTCTATAATCAAACACCCACAGTGATTAATAATATTATATAATAAAATAATTAATAATCATGGTTCTGAAGAAGGAGTGAAATCAATGTTTTTCCTGAAATTATCACGACCGATGATTGTGATTAGCAGGTGTAATGACAGTGTTGAGCAGAGTAGGCAGGTGTGTAATTCTATACATGTTTATGCAGCTGGAACTTCAAACTGTGTCTGTGTTGCTGCCACAAAAATGTCACTTGATTAAATTACTGCACGCTGAAAGTAACACTGCAAACCCCATAGCAAGTAGTGACGCCGGACAGCCAGCCCACACTGTCATGATTACTGCGAGGCGTGCCAACACACCGGCTGGCACTGCCCAGCGCCAATGTGACGCCCTCGTGCTCACACACACAAACACATAGGCCCTGTTTAAGGATTTATAACAATGCATCCTACAACAGATTGCTTTCTCTGTCCCAGTGAAATGTACACTGTTCTCAGGTCAGTATTGGCACCGGACTGGTTTGCCAAAGTAATGTAGTTAATGTAGGTTTCTCTTCCAACTCAGTTGGCTCAAGGCACGCTCGCAATTTTGTGATTTCTTTCCATGGAGGAGGATGAAGAGGACATTCATGAGAGGAGCAGCCTGGTGCGCAGAGGCTGCAAAGAAAGGAAACTGGTTGAAATGGCTTGTGCTCAGTGTCACATCAGCTGCAGGGAACTAAGTCAATGATGCTTTAGTGGATTGAAACTATTGTTTGTGTGTATAAAGTGTGTAAGAGAAGTGGTTCATCCACATGAGGTTATTAGAGATTATTTTCTTGAGGAACATAGATGCACAGAACTGCAAAGACAGGTCATCAGGGACAATAATATAAGAGAAATATTTATTATGCATTTCTGGAAACTTGTCTTTAGCTTCACCAGGTTCATTAAAAGACATTAAAAACATCAAATACACATAACACAGAACACATACGACCAATTCATTTAAACACAGAAACCAATTGGAGCTTTCAAGTACACCGGTTATCTCTTATGAATTTATCAAAGCAATTGTGCGAGGGATTTTTGTCGCCCTGGGTACCCTATAACGCCTTCCTGAGGGGAGCTTGTCAAATTCAGCAAACTGGGGATGTGAAGGATCCCCCACGGTTCGTTGTGCTTTCTGCCTGCAGTGGAGCACATAAATCTCACTCAGCTGTCTCTGTGATTTACGTATTATTTTCCCAGCCATATTCACAATCCTAGTCAATTTGGACCTATTTTTAGATTACCATACTCTCCACAAGATTTCTGTAGACCAACTCTAGGGTATTTTCGCTTACAGAGAAGCTGCCAACTTCCTCAATACAACACAGCTCAAATATTACTGGTACAGTAATTAAATTTGTGTCAGAGGTTCCAGTACTCCCAGTAAGAGAGAGAGAGAGAAGCATACAAAGACAACACCAACAGAACATAAAATCAGGATCGCCTCCAATCCATATCAGTCGTAATCCGTCTAGTCCTCAAAGGCACTTAAAGAGGTATTATGCTTTTTGGCTTTTTCTCTGTCCTTTAATGAGTTATACACCTTATTTGGTTTGCAAAGTGAAAAAGCCCAAAGTCCACCCCAAAGGGATTTCCCATCTCCCACAGAAAATACTGCTCTGAACTGCTTGAAAACAGCTTGTTTGTAGTCCAGCCGTTTCCCTTTCATCCCTGTCACGTCACAGGGATGAAAGGGAAATGCGCGTCATATAATGCTCGCCAAGCCGCTACTCCAACAGCCCTCAAAAACACTGGTGGAAAAACACTGCGCTCAAGCACACACCTCTCCTCTCCCTTCCAAACACTAGCTACCCTCCAGGCAGTCAATGGACATAAAGTTGTTACTGTGATGTAGAGACAGAGCTCAGTTAAAACTTTATGGATGAAAAATACTTTTGTTACAGATTAATAACTCACCACTCTGAAACTCTTGCTCCAGTCCATGTTACTAAGCTGGTAAGGGATATACAGCTGTATATACCTGCACTTCTCTGCTTCTTATTGGCTAGTAGTCCTTAGCTGGGAACTGCGCATGTGCAACTCCCAACAAAGATCATTTAGAGACACGATGTATCACTCTATAGCTAAAACGAAGCGTTCAACACAGGGTGAAAATGGGAGCTTCAGCAATGTACAGTATGACAAAAAATATGGTGTTTTTTGAAAATTAAACCTAAATAGGATTTTGAACCTGAAAATGAGCATAACATGACCTCTTTAAGATGACTGCTGTCTTATAACATGTTGTTTTTGGATCGTAAAGGAAACTTTGTTGTAAGTTTGGGGTCTTCTCATCTGTTTTTATACAGAGTTAGACACATTCACACAAATCTGTCCTGTACAACCTCTACCAAAAACCCAGCAGCTCTGTTGGGGGTTAGTGGAAGAGAAGAGAGGGTTACTCAAACCATAAGTGACAACGTTTTAGTCTTCCGTTCGGTCTGTTCCCAAATTGACGGACCTAATCATATTTAGATGGTGTCTTTTGTTAGAAAAGCAAGGGATGTTTTATTTTATTTAAATTGAACAAACTCTGTTTCCTTTTCTGTGTTCAATGCGCTTTTTTTTAAAATATATAACCAACAAGAATTATATATCAAAACCATACACTGTATAAAAGAAGTGGACGGAGTCATTGTGACGTCACACTGGTTTGTGGACTACCGTTCTGAAGCCTCGAATTTGGCATCTTGGTTTATTGGAACCAGACACCAGATGTGACCATATTTGGACGAGTGGGTTGCGCTAGCCAGATTGGTTAGCAAGGTGCATCTGTAATTCACGTTAATTGTGGTTTTAAACGGTATGCTGATTTTGGCTAGCGAAAAACAGGTTTAAAACAAAATGTAGTTACTTAACAGAAACAATTAAAAGTCAACTACTAAGCTTTTACAACGTTGCTGGTTAAATGTACACATTGCTGTGTATACACACGCCTCTATCCTGATTGACAGGTTGAATGGTAGCGACTTGTCTATCACCAGACAGCCACGCCCTAAAGCCTACCTTGCTATAAGATAAGATAGACTTTAATTTTCGTCCAAATGGGACCATAATTCACTAAATTAACATCTTGCTGTGTTGAAGAAGACTTGAAACTAGCGACTGAGATCATAAACTCATTAGGAAAGTGTTTATTGAGTTAATACATCAGGTGGGAAGTAGGTAGACCAATGCAATCAGACTGTTTTTGCAACTAGTGGTGGCCATTAGAAAGAATGCAGGTTTAAGGCACTTCCGCATTGGCTTCACTTTTCAGACTCGGAGGTTCCCCCTTGATCAAAACACACATAAACTGAAACATAAACCTGTATGGGCAAGTCACATATCATCACTATCGCAATGCTGCTGTACCTGTTTTGCTTGCACCATCAGTATATACGTGTGTAGCCTGCATTTGATTTTTTTTTTAAAGCGGCAAACCCTTTTGTGTCGGGCACATTTTATTTATACAACATAATAGTATGAGAAATAGTTTGTAGATTCCTCTGCTGTTAAAAGTTAGCCATATTTTTCAGATTAGACTTCCTTTCTTACTGCTACATTACTTGCCCTTCATGCTTTTTTTTTTACCCTAGTTTTCTCAGACGCTCCTTCTGTTCCACAGCAGTAGCTTAAAGTAACCAAGCAAGTTATCAGTGATTTGTGAGTGGAGTTGTGTGAAAGCAGGATTTCCAGTGCATTCAAACCCACTTCACACACAAAAAATGCATTTATTTTTTTATTTTTACAACCACTGTGTAACGCTCCCATCTTCAGCCCATAAATCTCCATTGGTTATGGTTACATAATCAGTACAGATGCATTAACCAAATATCCAGGAAACACTTGATCATCCTCCTTTTTGTTATCTGATATTTCAGTATTAGTGTTGAAACATTGAACTGCTCATTATGGTGTGTGTCTATTTGTGTAAGTACAATTAAACAAAATGTGGTCATAACCTTTTTGATCTTCTCTCTCCAGTGTGTGTCAGTTTCTGGCTCGCTGTCAGAGCCCAACGGGGGGCTTTGCCGGGGGACCAGGACAACACGCCCACCTCGCACCTACCTATGCTGCCGTCAATGCCCTCTGTATCATCGGCACAGAAGAGGCCTATAATGTTATAGACAGGTACAGTCATGCTCACATGACCAAATTCACCCCGCTGTCTTACACCACACCAAGTAGAAGTGAAGACACAGTGTTGGAAGAACACAGAAAGGTTTCTAGTAAAGCAGACTTCAAATGGACTGGCTGTTTTGTAATAAGACTCCTTCATACTTACGTGCCTGGATGTTTCCTTTGTTTTAATGCTGCTCTTGAGATAATGTAAAAATGCAGTCTGGTGACAAGTCACTGGGGTGGCAGTAGGAGGGGAAAAAAGCATTCCAGACAAACTGTGCACATTTTCATAATTTTCAGTGATTTGTGGCTGATGAAGTCTCTCAGCCTTTCAAAAAATCCAAACAGCTCAGCAGCTTTTAACATACAGCATACATTTATTTGTCAGCAGAGTTTTTTGACTCCCAAAAAATCACGTCAACAATTTGTCATGGCAACTTTGTTGGAGAGATTTAAGTCCGAGATGCCCAATGTTCTATAAATAGTAGGATATACGCAACAGTGTAAATATCAAATCACCTTAAGGGTATTGCAGTGGATTTATGCTAAAGTTTTGTGCAGTCGGAATGAAAGGCTTCAGATTATAAAATACCGTAAAACTTCAGTTAACAGCCTAGTCCCAAATAGACGCCAGTATCTCTTACTGGCCTGATGTGGCTACATGTTTTGCCAAATAAACATGGGTCTCAATTAGAAGCCTGGTCTGGGTTTTTAGAAGTTTTCTGGATGTATAAAACCCACTGGGTCGTCTGCTTGAGCTAGTACTAAACTGCTTAGATTGTGCAGACCAATCTAAATGATTAAACTTTTGTTAATGTGGACATGCTACACATCGTAAGATTGGTCGTGCGGTTAATTATATGGAAACGGTGAGCAACAAAGTAAAATTCATTCAGATTTACTGGAATGGTGAACAAGAGAGATGAAAAAAGTGGTGAGTCACTACATTTTGAAGCAATCAAAAAGTCTAAATATGTGCCCATTATTTATATTCCTGAAGGTTCCACCGATCAAAAGAATGAATTGATCAATTGTTGTAGAGATCTCTCTAATGAATCATTCATAATTGATATGTTATCCGATGGCCTAATTTTTATACAAGTAATATTTATACTGGTGAATAAACTTTTTAATAGTAGCCTACTTCCCATCTTGAGTGTGTGAGAGTTTTGCGCAAAAGGAATTGTCCCATAAAGATGCCTGTTGCAAGTATAGGCAGGGAGATTTCAGTAACTGAAGCAAATAAAAGAACAGGCTATTAATTTCAGTTTTACGGTGACTAAAACAAGCGCTTTTTACATTGTATCAGTTTGATGGTATAAAGTATAATGATAACCATGTTCACATTTCAAAGCGTTCAATCAGTGGCTGTATAATGATGTTTGAAATTAATTAATTAATTAAAGTATGCATTTAATGCCTTTGAGTATAATTACATTTTTCTGTATTATACTGTGATCTTGTAGGAGAACATTATAGTCATGTCTTCTTGTTGATGTTATTTAACCAGTAGCTGATTATAAGAGCATTATGACAACATTATACAACTTTTCACTCCCCATATATGTATTTATATCTACAAACTGACAGGGTGAAGCTACTAATGTTTACAGTCATGATTTCTGTGTTTACCTTTTATTAGTGCTTTAATTAAATTTGCTTAGAACTTCTTTCTCTCGCTTCATCTCACTCTATCCATATCTCCCCTCTCCTGTTCTTTTTGTCACCGTATATCTCCTCGGTCTTCTTTTCTAATAACCACCACCACTCTGTCCTCCTGTCTTGACCTACTCTGCAGGGAGAAGCTCTTAGATTTCCTATGGTCAGTGAAGCAGCCAGATGGCTCGTTTGTGATGCACGTTGGAGGGGAAGTTGATGTCAGGTGAGAGCCCCAGAAGATAACGCCGCCGCCTCCCCCACCCTCTGCTCCTTCTCCCGGTGTAGTATTTCCCTTACAGGAGGATCCATGAATCACCAAACAATAGGTCACAGTTGAGAGCATAATTGGTATCCACGCTTTTTTTCATTATTGTGTATTTGTTGTGCGACAGTCAACAAATTTGCACATTTAGTCTTTTCACCACATAAGTAGGACATTTTATAGTACATCCCTTTTTATCTTCCTTTGAATTTTTTATGCTCTTTTGTTCCCCTTTGGTGTTGATAGAAAAGAAGAGAAATACCCACATCTCTCTTGCATTTTCATATTTGACTTTGTATGTGCGCGTGTGTTGCGCTTTCTCTCTTTGAATCTGCTATGTGGAGCAGTGGGTTTTTAATAAGCAGCTTTGAGGTGTCGTCTTCGGTTTCAACAAAGAAACTCAAAAGTCAAAGTTACTTTTTTCACTCTCGGCGGAGGCTGTTATCTGTTGCCAGCCAATTAATGTTCTGCTGTCATTATGCATTATTTAAACCCCTTCCCTCTCAGACGGGTTTGCCTCTCTGACACCATCCTGTGGAACTTTTTCATGAACAAAGGAAAAAAAAAAAGCAAATGTTTTAACTTCTTTAAAGGGTTTAATTGGCCTACAAAGCATAAAGATTTGCTTAAACCCACTTTTCATTTTAAAGGTTAGTTTGTATATGTTCAATATGTTTGTTATTGTCAACAAATCTCACAAAATGACAAAAACCAACAATGAAACGATCCGACTGAAGCCTTTATATAGCTTATTCTTCTGTTCCATAGATCAGCATTGTCCAAAAACACATTAAACAGTAGTTTATTTTGAGTCAACCGCACATACACTCTCCTGCTGCTACACTACAGTGATAAATGTGCATTGATCCACTGCTGGAAATAGTCTAGTAGTACTCCTGTTTGAGTATTGTTTGCTAAAAACTATAATACCAAGTTGTTTTTGGAAATTACTTAGCCCTTTTTTAAATAAAATTATTTATTTATGATCCACGCAGAGACTGAGTAGTGGTTTCGTCCCATCATGAGATTTGTTGACAATAAGAAAAACACTGAACAGCCTTATCTTTCACGATTTAGTGTATCTTGACATACTGCTTGACTATTGTTATCCACATCTGCCCCAAAGAGAAGAGACCAAACCAATTTTTTTATTTTTCCTACTAACTAGTACGACGTTCAGTTAATATGACCAGGGTTGTTTATTTAGAAACAACTGAGCATGCTCAGAGTTGTTTTTCCATGTTGACGCAGCTGCATGCTCATGTTTACCATAATGACAGAATATGCTGCTCAAACGTGACGGCAGTGGAGTTTTGTGGCGCGGAGGAATGATCTGTATCAGGCTTTGGCTACACAGACAATACTTACTAGTAGTGTCTTCAAAGGATTTGTAGATAATTATAAAAAAAGTACCAGCCTTATCTTTGAATTCTTCTAGTAGTTATCAACTCTTAATATCCATGCGTAACAAAGTCGAGATGACTTTACAGCATGGCAGGCTGACACCAAAAACAAAGTGGATGTTTATATTTGGTCTGCTGGCGGTCTAAAAATACAATAGTTTGGAAGATGATGTGTACGTGTAGGAAGAGACTTCCTGCTCACCCACGTCTGTGTTTTTTCCTTTTTCTAGGAGTGCATATTGTGCAGCTTCTGTAGCATCGCTCACAAACATCCTCACAGCTAAACTGTTCGAGGACACGACCAACTGGATCCTCAGGTACAACCCACCGCCACCACAGCGGACCATTTTTGAATAATTAAAGACCGTTTTGTGCCCCCACGTCTCTATGAAGGAGAAAGTGTTTAATTGTGTTTTAGTGACTGTCTCCTCCTGTCTCCAGCTGTCAGAACTGGGAGGGCGGTCTAAGTGGAGTGCCCGGTTTGGAGGCCCACGGTGGCTACACTTTCTGTGGCACAGCTGCTCTCGTCATCCTGGGCAAAGAACACATGCTGGATCTCAAAGCCTTGCTGGTGAGAAACTCTGCATCACCTTAGAATCAGAAGATCAGAAGAAGCTTTATTGCCAAGTAATGTTTTACACATACGAGGATTTTAAGGTGCTACATGTAGACAAACATACAGTTGACATAAATAAATGTAGAAATGTATAAATATGGAATGGGCAATGCAAGTTATATAAGAATAATAAAAAGAATAACTATTTGCAGAGAAAGAACAACGTCGCTGATATTTACATGTGCATTACTCTAGGTTTGTGTTGTGCAGACATATTGCAATGGAAGAGAATATTGTGTACATAAATATATAAATTGACAATATAAAAATATACAACAACAAAGATTAACAATTAACAACAAATATGTGCAATGTGCCAGGTTTGTGCATGATATGGAATGGAATGAAATGAAATAGTATTTACATGTGCAGAGACATTTGTATTATTTGCAAGGGGGTAGTGTCAGTGAGGGACCCGGGCCTTGTTGATGAGGCTAGCTGCAGACGGGAAGAAGCTGTTTTTGTGGCACCTGACCTGGCTTCAAGAAAAAGAAGTATTAGAAATGACATAATACGCTCCCTGCTCAGAACAACCTGTGACAAAACAAAGATGCTATCAGTCACCACAGAGGCTTTGTGCTGAAGCGATATCCCTTTTTGTCGGCCGCTCACAGCTGTAAGGATAAAATGTTATAAGCCAGAGCAAGATTTCATTAAGTAAAAAGGACTGATGGTGCCTGCTGAAGTCGCATTTTTGAATGAATATTACACAGCTTTGGTCTTTTTTGCTTATTTAAGCTTGGCTTCGGTCCTGCATCTTAGATCAGTTGTTTGTAGCTGGAAGCGATACCTTGACATTATTATCATTTTAGTTGTTTATTTTGCAGAGGACAGTTTTCCTGCATTGGCTTCCTGTGTTGTCACCACTGGGATACTGGTACATTATCCCCGTAGGGAAATTCTCTTGTCATTTGCTTGCTTCCAGAGAAATAAGAGGTCAGAACAGTGTCCCCTGAGCTTTAGCATAGGTACAGCTTTTAGAGTTGTGCTCTGGGCAGAAGCTTAAAAAGAGATGCTGTGTCGCTGCTAAGCCAGCCTGTAGCGCTGAACAATTAATTCAAATTTTATCGCAATATGGTAAAGTACAATATCCACATTGCTGGAGCTACAATGTTTTTGAAAAAAGTAAAATGGGTCACAACATACCATTTAAAAATTGTTCATTGTGAAGCTAGAGACGCCCCTACCTACAAAATCATTTTCTCCAGACATGAGGGAATTTTTGTTTGGTACAGGCCTGAGCAAAAATCTTCATAATTTTTATACTTTTTTCAGTGAAAATGATGTGCAAAAATTACCATTCCCACTAAATTTGTACACATCTCTTATTGAAAGGACATGTAGTTAGCTGGTGTTCAGAGTCAGTTTTGTGCTTTGGTTTCTTTTAGCAGTGTTTACAGTCATCGTCAAATTCAAAATAACAAGGATGTAAAATGCACCCACAGCAACTGCCTTTATTCTGTGTCTCTTTCATTCTGCATAAATTCAAATTCGGTGTGCTAATCAAGTAACATTTGCATGTGACGGGGTCAGAAAACCTGTTTCTCACGTGCTAGCCGGCTTATAAAACTTCGCCTTCTTCTGTAAACACCCTCACAGGCCTGTAGTAAAATCCACTCAACACCCAGCCAAAGTTTAACAGAGCACGCCCTCTTAAGTATCCTGTGACACGGTCTGTCCCCTGGGAAACCTCCGCAAATATGTTTTTCTGTCTCGGTGGTTTAACCTGAGTGGCAGTGAAGCTGGAGGTGTAGTTTGGTGTGGTTCAGCAAAGGTTGTAAGTGGACACCGGGTCAAGCACGACTCACCTGCTGTACAGTATCGCCTTGGCAGAGCTGTGTCTCTGAACAGATCAGTGTCAGAGCAGTTGACACGCAAAGTCGTATAATGTTGAGGTGTTTATCTTAGAGTGCAATTATTCTGTAGAAAATGAATCTACAGTCATTTTGAACAGCAGGAAATGCCAAACATTTGCTGGTTCCAGCTTCTAAAATGTAAGGATCTGCTGTCATCGTAAATAAAATAGCTTTGGGTCTTGAAGACGTTGCCTTGGGCTTTTGAAAATTAGGATGGGCAATTCTAATTACTTGGACACTTTATGAAATAAATGTTGAACCTTCAAAACAGGTTTGTATAGATGTAGAGACTCATTATAATCTGATCTGGAGACATGTCGGAAAACGTTTGTGTCACGAAAGGAAAACACATAAGAATTTATCCTCTCATTGACAGTAGCACTATGGTAATGGGCTTTCAAGGTTTCCCATACAGAGTTTTTTGACAACCATTTCGGTTCCTTAAAATGATGCGGAATTTGAGTGGGTGTTTTACAAAAATGGCTTTGCCTTTAGTTAGTTAAGGTGTCCTTTATAGAGTGATGTAGGCTAGGAGTCACGCCGCACAAAACCGCCCCAGTTTCATCTCTGAGAGAATTAATTAATCACTAACATTGAGAGAAGATTCGCGTTGATGGCGGCTCTCATATTTATGTGGCCTTGTTGTATTATTAATCCAGTATTACTGAAGTTCCATTTTCAGGGATGACGATAAAAAAAATCTAGTGAAGAGCACAGACATTTTTCTCCTTTAGGAATTTGTATAGCCGAAGCTGCAAAAACAAGTAAGTGAAGAAAATCCAGCCTTTTTAACTGTGCTTCTGAGTGTGAGCAAAAACCAATCCAAAAAAGGACAGTTTGAAGTAGCAAGATCAGATGCAAATGTGTAACTGCCGTTAATTAATAACCTGCGTATCAGCGCCAGGTGCTTCATTTAAATATGAGAAATGTCACTGGTACTGCGGAGGACAAATTACAAATTGCCTGTCAGGCATAGAGAAAGGGGAGCAGAAGAATACCCACAGTGCAGCCCTAGAATGAATGATCAGTCTATCTGAAGCATTTATGATGTAAATTACAGATCAAAGATCACTGTTTGTTCCTTTTTTTTTATTTATTTCCTTGTAACTTCACGAAGAAAACCAAAAAAACAATAATCCTAGAACATTAGGATATTATTTGCATGTTGCAGCTAAATAATGGTCTGATTGTAAAGGTGACAATTCTTACATACTTCAATCTGTACAGACCAGGGTAAACCTAAAAATATGAATAAAATGCATATTTATAAAGCATGTTTCCTTTGTTTTACATTTAAGGAATCTACTCTGCAGAAACTGGTGTTTGTAAGGTGTACTAGTGCTCCGGCTCAGCTACAGCGGCCCTCAACTTCCGTGCTCAACTTCTTTTCCTTCTTTTACTGGCTGAAATGAATCCCTGAACTAACGTTAATAAGCTAAACATTGTCACCCCCCTTCCTCAGACAGACTAGACCTCAGCTGGTATTAAACCCAATATATTTCCATAATTACCTCATTCAAGCCAAGCGGACTGGATGGGAACCAATTAGTGGTTTTCATGGCAGCAATATTACAAATTCCTTCCGATTTTGAAAACATTGGGACACCTGCTTTCCTTCATCCCTTCTATCTCAGCTCTGGTATACAAAGGAATATCTCTGTCGCTGGCAGTGTTCAGGGGTGATGAGATTACAGTTGAAGTGACCAAGAGATCAGAGTTTAACAAAGTTTAGTTAAAGCATGCTGTAGCAGATTTTGATTGTATTAAATGTGTGCTCGTCGTGTGTCTTCGTCAGCGGTGGGTGGTCAGCAGACAGATGCGATTCGAAGGAGGCTTCCAGGGCCGCTGTAACAAACTGGTGGACGGCTGCTACTCTTTCTGGCAGGCTGGACTCCTGCCTCTCCTCCACAGAGCCTTATTCAAAGAAGGTACTGTATCTTGTAGGTCATAGTAAAGTGGGCATGTTGTGTTGTTACAGGTCTTTTAAGAGAAATAAAAACATGTGACCTTGCCGCTAAAAATACAAATTTTTCATCAGTAATTGCATTTTCTTGCCCCTGCAAACTTGCTTATTAAATTTTTTTTTTTAAATAGACAAAACAAGCAGCACAGCACAATATCAAAAGAATCATAAGTGCTTTCTCGCTTAGGTGTAAACTCAATATCAGTTGCTTGTTTCCCACTAACATGTAGAGAAACCTGGCTTGAGAATTTTCCCTATAGCCACCAGAAAATCTATTATAAAATTAAAAAAGAACTCTAGTGTAAGCATAATTAATAAAGTTTTCAGAGCTGTATTGGGTACACACGGTGGAGGTTTTTCTCTGTTTATTTGGTGATATTTTTCCTGTACTGGCTTTTGTTTCCTCTCAGCTACACTGCAGGAATATGGGTGTGGTAAATACGGGGGCTGGTCATTTTCACTTTCACATGGATTACACAGTATATCCTTTGGTGTTTTCTGCTGAAAGACACTGATCATCACAATCTTTACTGTAAACAAGGTCTTCTGAGTTTGCACTGGAAATGGTGCTTTGATAATGAAGTTTTCACCTGGATTTTTTCATTTATTTAAAAAAACGAAATAGCTAAAAGCTAAAATTAAATATTTTTTCCCTATCGTGTACAGGAGAGTCAGAGCTAAGTCGGCAGCGGTGGATGTTCGAGCAGCAGGCCTTGCAGGAGTACATCCTCTTCTGCTGTCAGAACCCAACAGGGGGCCTCCTGGATAAGCCTGGCAAGTCAGTCCCACACCATCTGGACACACACACCACAACACATTAAGGCTGATAGCAGAACACACACACTCTACACTCTTAATGTAGGGCTCTACAATAAAACAATAACAATAATTATTGTGAAATAATGTTTCTCAATAACAATATCACAAATGTTCAATAAATATTTGATCTTACTTTTTTGTTTATTTTGTTGAGCAAAAATTGACTGAAAAAAGATTTTACTTAATTTTACTCGTGCATTTTTGTTGAAAAAAGATTTGATCGTAATTGTTTTGAATGTTCTACCTCAGATTTGTGAATGGATCCACTGTTTGGCATCAAGTGTTTTTCAGGTTCTGACCATAAAGAAGAGTTTAAACCACAATTAACCATCTGGTTTCTTAAACTTTCACTCAGGAGCAAAAATCAGCCTTTAAACTCAAAAGAAAAAATGATTTGACATTTATGGTGATAATTATCGATATCGAATGATATGACTTTTTTTTATCGTGATAACATTTTTAGCCGTATCGTCCAGCCCTAGTCTAATGTAATTAACTCATCATTAATATATCACTGTACTATATTATGTCTTCATGTGTCCAGATCCAGAGATTTCTACCACACATGTTACTGTCTGAGCGGCCTCTCCATAGCACAGCACTTTGGAAACATGGACCTCCATCATGAGATGATCCTCGGCAGGGAGGAGAACAGATTGGTGAGGCTGCAGCAGAGTGGATTTGTTTTAGTAGAAACAGATGACTGCTGCCCAGTTCCTTAAGAAAAATAACAGCACTGTTAAACAGTCCAGTCAGTACATTATTAAGTTTAGCAATATTGGATGAATATTTGTGCATATTCTGGTCAATGTGCAAAATAAATGAGAGTACATAATGGAAATTTGGAAACCTTGTCACTTTGACTTTTTGATCAGTGGTTTCCAACATTTTTTTGTCTGCTGTACCAGATGACCGTTAGTATCATGTGTGAAACTGGATGTTGTTGCTAATTACTAACTATATAAAAGTGGATAGTGTTACAGCTACATTGTGGCGTTGTTGCTGTTGGGTTTATGTTCTCTTTTGCAGTAGGTTTGGTCACGTTTGCATCAGTACCTCTTCCCCATTTATCCATTACGCTGCAGTTTTTCGAGTTCTCAGCTAGCTTGCAAACTGGTTTTCATGCGCTGTCAATCACAAGCTACAGCCAGCAGCCGGTTAGCTTACTTTAGTGTAAAGACTGGAAACAAAGGGAAACAGCTAGCCCGGCTCTGTCTGAAGAAAACAAAATTGGCCTACCAGCACCTCTAAAGCGCACTTATCAACATGTTATATCTTGTAAGTAATATCTTCAAAGTATAAAAACATGGTGGTGTGGCTGTACGGGGGAGTTATGTGCCGAACAATTTCTTAGCCAAGTGCAGTAACTTCCACGCGTCTTGTTGTCACTCTGAGGTTGCCATACAACCAGCAGAGACTCCAGGAATTCACTTCACCTGGATGAAATGTCAAGCTATCGCTTCAAGGTGTTACAGGTGACTGAGGTGGAAGGCCTGTCCTGTGAAGTCAGCCTGTTGTAGCAGGTAGTTTGTTGGTTCTTTGGACAATAGATATACTATGCCTCGCACCAAAGCTGGAGGACACAAAAATGTGGACATACTTTCAATCATAACTTGTAGTTTTAGTCAGTCTTTCTAGGTTCCCCCTGGGAACTGCAGAAGTACAGGAGCTGTGAGAAAAGCTAAGCAGACAGTGGTGCAGTCTGCTAAGAATAACGTTTGTTTTTCAAATGTAAAAAGGCCTGCATCCAGCATTGATCTTTGTCTCGGCTGCCTGATAATCAAAGTGGGGGGGTTTCTTTAAAAAAAAAAAAACTTGAGTTATGTAAATAGGCGCATGAAGGATTCTCAGAAAGTTTTTTTATTCCCAAAGGTCTGTGTCGACAGTGGCTCAGAAAAGATCAGCATTAGTCAGCCTCCTCACTGGGTTATTTAATTTATTATCAAACAACATGATTGATGGCCAGGTTTAGTCAGTTAATGGTTGGAAAATGAAAATATTCTAAATCAAGTTAACTGAGCACCTTTTTTAAAAAGCCTCATCAGCTACTTAATTTGCCTCTGATGCACCACCGTAAATTATTAAACTAATGGCTTTTTCTCTCTGCCAGTGTCAAAAACAATGTCATGCTCTCTTGACTGTTTCATGCACCTTTGAAATGTATTGCATGCCTTTCTTTTATTTTTTGTACAACGGTATAAGTTTATTTCCTGGTTACATTTTGATGTATGAATAGCATTATTTGAAGTGCTGATGCTGGTGTGGAGTTGGAACAGTATAGTAGTCAAACTAAGATGTGGTGTTACTTAAAGATGTCACCGGCAGTGGTGTTGGTTTTATTTTCCTGTTTCCTGTTGTCTTACTGGCACTCGCAGTCGTTTACAGTAAGTCTGCCCCCTGTGCATGCATATCACCTCTCACGGTTACTGTATATAATTAGGCAGCCAAACAGGAACCCTACAGTGGGTTTGTTTAATCACATCTTTAGTTAAACTGAACATTAATCTTGGGGTCAGAATCCAGTATTATTTTTTTGTATGCTGTACATATTCTTAGAAACTGAACTGGGTGTGAACACTGTCTCTGTAATCGTGATTAGGTTCTCTCTTTTCTGAAACATCATCAGGTGTTGATTCAACACTGGGAATTTTTGAGCCAGCGTTTGTGGCAGTGTTGCATTAGATTGCATTGCAACAAACTCGGGTCGACAGAATACAGAAGAATAGGACAAAGGCAGCATACCATTATATTTTACAGGAGCTCTTGATTTTCCGTCCTACTTGTTTTGGTTTTGTTTGAGGGACATTTTTGTTCAGGATTACTCTTGATAGGTCGGTCTTAACTTTCAGTTTCAGACTTTAATATAGTTTCTGAGACGTGTGGGTACCTACATTATCTGCCTTCTCACCCACTTGATTGGTGAAGAAAAGCATTTGACATTTTTGGTTTCAGAAAGATTGAAAATGCACAAAGCTTTATACAGTGCAGAAGTGGTTAAAGACATTCATTCTTGTTTAGCAGACCAGTTTTAAAAGGTCTCCATGGATAGTGGAGGCCATTTACACTGTAATTTAATTAAGACTTACAGTATAAGTAATACTGTATCTGTAATTACACCCAATCCAGATAAGATGAAGTTATTCGAAAAGATCAAGAATAGGAGCAAATAGAGGCTTAAAGTAAAATATTATGGTAAAGCAAATGTCTTATTTTCCTCTTGTTCTCTCTTGTAGGCTCCAACTCATCCAGTTTACAATATTTGTCCAGAGAAGGTGGCTCAGGCCCTGCAGCACTTCCACCGGCTGCCTGTCCCTGAGTACAACAAGCAGCCGGGAGACTCTGCCGGCGACGGACTGACAGACCCCGCCGCTGCTTCCGGATCAGCCGACCAGCAGTCCTAGTTAGTCCTCAGTGGAGACGTCCTCACTGTGTGTGAGAACCAGCCAACTCTGGGGAATGGACTCGAACCAAGGAACAGCAGTCGGGTCTGATTTAGATGAGCTCAAGAGCCGGGCTCGTCTACATAACGTCCTCACGTGAAGGCTGGAGTTTAGCAGGAGGTCGCCTGAATACAGGCCAACAGTTGTGTGTGGGCAGCTTTGCATTCAGCTGACTTTTTTGCTTGCAATGCCTATTGTTTTCATCCTCTGAAATAAAAGTGGAACTTTATAAGGTTTCAGTATGACCCAAGTTAATAAAACTTTATACAGCACTTTTACATAATTGTGTTACAAAATGCTTTTGTTAAAATGATTGGCACACTTCAGACAAATCAGAAGACTTTTTTACAAGCACCAGCTGAATCCGCAAGAGTTGACTTTCGGGGATTTAGCTACAGTAAAGAATTTACACATTCTCATCTTTAAGGCCAATTTCAAATAAAGCATTCATCTCCACCATAATTTCCTAATAATTTATTGCAAAGAACGATGTGATCCAGCACTAATTACAGGTACAAAATTCTGACAGTTATTACAGTTTTGTTTTAGAGCCACAACTATTATTTCATGAAGTAATGCCCGTTACAACTTGTATTAAATAAAAGCTGCTGTTGGTTTCCACAGGAGTTTATTTTAAACAATGGCTCCATTTAAATTAAACTTGCAGAAAATAATCAACTGACTTTAGAAATAAAATATTAAAAAAACATCCAAATAATTAAAATATTTCTTCCTCTGTGGAGGTCAGCATGGACGGTTACCGGAGAACTTTGACTCGTGACCTCAGGATTCCTAAAAAAAAAAAAAGGCTACGTTCCTGCCTGCAAGCAGAAAATTATGAGAAACAAGCAAAAAAAATATCCCTGAAATAAGAGGCTACTGGCTGTTCTTCACACACGAAAACAGCAGCTGGCCCAGTTTATTTCTCCACGTTAATAACAGCTGCGTAAAGGAAGAATTGTTATATCTGACATTATGTCCCCAGTATTTATTCTAGACACCTGCCTGCATCAGTGGAAACCAGAAAAACCTGAAGTTTTGTTTGTCTGTGGTAACGCAGCACATTCAGTCTGAAAGCCTGTTTGCAGACGTCCTCAGAAAGGTGACCTATTATGAAAAACCCGTCATTAAGTTCACAGCAGATTACAGGAAATATTGGCATTTATTAACGGTCTGGTCTGACCGCTGAATAACCACATGGAGCGTGTTAAAGGATAAAATAGTTTATTTTATAGTCTCATAGTAAAGGTAGGCCTCAACTTGCAAGACAATTGTTGGCAGTATGTACAACATACTTGTAATTTCCATGGAATGGAATCGGACAAACAAAGACCTATTACACTAATTATATCCTCCTAAATGGAAATCAAATGGAAACAATATACACACACACACATTTCCTAGACACGCAAAATGCTTCCTTTTTTCCGTGGGGGATTTAGCAACATTGGTTTTTACTGTGTAAAGCACAACACATCGACGGGGACTTAATTTGCTTTCTTGTACTGCAAAAGACGGGAGCTACCTTTGACATTCAATACCTATTTCATACCCTTAAGGAAAACTACATGTGATAAATTGGCATTTTCCCATGACTTGTGAGATTACAACAAAATGCATAACATACTTTTGAAGTTGAAGACATCCAATCAATGCTTTTTATAATATATAAAACGAGACGCCGAACGTATTCAGCCACCTAAAGTCATTCACTACTTCAAGCTAAAGGACGAAATACGGTACAAGCTCAGGAATATCCTTCAAAACATCAATTTCAACAAAGGAGCTATGTTGTTCTTTTTTTTTTTTTTTTTTAAATCTTGTGTTAATAAACGTGTCAGGCAGAAAACATCTGCAATCCAGTGGGCCTGAGGTGGGTCACTTTAACATTAGCTTCAAAGCGTCTTCACATTCTTGAGTGGAAAAAGTAAGCTACAAATGTTTTATTTTAAAAAGGTAAACTTTTCCAGCACGATTCATCTAGGTATGTGTGTGTAAATTCTAAACAGGTTTTTATCAAGAATAACAAAATAAAACACAAATATATATAATATAGCAGTGCTTGGAGGAGTACGCCCCGCACACTCGCCCTCCCAAAAACAACCCGGGAGGAGGAGGGGCTTTATTGAGGGTACTAAAAAAGCATCAAGTCCTTAGATAGCCAAGCTGCCTCTTTTTGAGTTTTGGATTGTTGGCGTTGCTGGGGTGGGGAAACCAATGACTGATAACCAAAGAAAAGAGAGGAAGAGAGGGATATGGGGGGGGGGGGGACCTGAAGCTCTCTGGACAGACGCAGTCATCTTCCACCCTGCTGACTTCCTCCCTCCTGTTCTTGGGGACTGGGTGGGAGGAGAGATGATTGTGGCGGCGGTGTGTGTGGATGTTCGAGGAGTCATGAGTCTCCACTGCGAGCCCACCCAGGGATGGAGGCGAGAGAACGAGGAGGGAGCAGTGAGGGAGGCTGGGGGGTGGTTGTTGCTGGCATGAGGTGGGGGTGGGGGGGGGGATCGATGAGCCTCGAGAGCTTTGAAGGCTGCGTTTCCTCTCGCCCTCCCTTTTACCCCGCTGCCTCGGCCAGGTTTTAAAACTGCTCCGCTCTCTAGCTGGCTTCCACGCGCAGCTTCTTCCTGTTTGGCGGCTCCTCTGCTTCCGACTCGGAGCTCGAGTCGGAACCCCCGTCGAACGCAGACACGGCGCTGCCTTTGGGGTTGGTGTACAGGCTGCTGTCAGAAGACGAGTAGCTGGCCTGGAGCTGGGTGGTGCCCTTCACCTTCTCCAGAGCACGGACTGCATGAACACAAGACACAGGAAGGAACATGAACGGATGAAGAAGGTGAGGGAGTTTAAGAGATGCAGTCAGGCTGGGGACACCTTACATGACTGAACAGGGAGATTTTTCTTTGAGGAAATGCAGATAAGCAGACAATCCAAAATGGAGGAAGTCATGATTAGCTGTGTTGCACCATCCGTTTCTATATAACTCGTGCTCCTGGATGTTGTAAGAACTTGATGTAGTCTAGGTATTTTCTCACAGAGGGTTTCTCTAGATGTCTCTTATTCTTTCTAAAACCTAGCATGTTCTTCAGGTTTTACATCAATATTCTAAGCTCAGTATTTAAATACAGGTTACTAAAATTTAAAAACTACCATTTTAACAAATATGCTATGATTTAACAACAACATATCCTTAGGGCTGTGGTTCCATGGAGGACACTGAGGTCATGCTCTGTTTTTTCCCCCCCCTATGAATGTGGGAGTTTTAGTGCCCTGAAGTTCTCATCATATTATATAACAGAAGATTAAAATGGTGGGGTTTTAAAGGTTGATATAAGTTTAATCATGTTTAATTATTTAATCTATTCAATTCAACTATTGGGCCATTAAATAAATATTGTCTCAGTGAAAACTCAGGGGGCATCTTTCTGGGGCTGAAATTAATAATAAAAAAAATATAATTTAACAGTTGCAAGTGAAAATTGGTCAAAATTATCATCATTATTTTGAAAATCCTGTCTACAGTCCTGCATGTGTCTTAGAAAAAGATGCAAACAAAATAAGCGTCATTATTTTGTTTAAACAACACAGTGTTCAAATCTTACTGTCCATGGCTCAAGAAAGAAAACGTTCAAGAGAAAACCCACACAGAAAAAAACCCACAGAAGCTAAGTTTAGCTGGGAGAGGGGGCTAAACTCTGGCCTTCCACTGGTCTGGAGTTGTAGTGACACAACACACTTTGATTTTCAGATTGGGACTTTTTGTTCTCAAACCATTCAACCGCAAGCTCTTTTATCACTACAACAACCAAACAAAACAAACATGGCGGTGAAGCATTTGTATTTCCTCACCCCACCCTCTCCCTTCTTGCGCTCCACTCTCACATTTGCTCAACTCAAAAATTTTGAGGTCATGGGGGTCGTTAGATACAAACACAGATGTTCTCGATTCTAAAATTAGGTTCTTAAAACAAAATCGTGGTCAGATCAGTCTAAATGTCATGTAGAGTATCCTCAACCTGAAGCACAAAAACAGAGAGAAACAAACTGAAATCCAGCGGTGTTGCTACCTTGCTGTTCCAGCAGTGCATTCTGCCTCTTCAGGTCGTCGATGTCCTGCTGGTGTGTGTGGTTTTTTCGCCTCATGTACTGGATGTACTCTGTGGCTTTGTCTAGGATTTGAGCTCGAGACGCCTGTTTGGTAGACTGCTGTTAGTGACACATGCAGAAATTGAAGCAGTGACGCAAGTATCACATTTCTTATCACATTTTTTATACAAAAATTCCTGCTCCTCTCATGATGCTACATATGCTGAAAAACTGCAGGAGACTACGGGGAAATCTAGGACAACACTGTCTGTTTCTGCACAGCTTGCCTGCTCTTAACCTCCTAAAATCCTCTAGTAGTTCAGTCTGACATCCCCAGGCTAGGTCACAACCCTGACACATTACAGTCAGAGTGTTCGCCCCGATTACAGCAAACAAAAGCACTGCAGCGGCCCGTTAGCCCCAAAAATGTTCACGGATTACAAACAAACATTTGATAAACATTTGCGACATGTCTAATTAATGCTTCCCTTGTGTCCCTGAGCTACTTAGCGAGGCCATTCATTGACTTAATATCAGCAGCAGCAGCGAGATTTGTGCTCATTACGGCTGGGTATCATTTAAAATTTTTCAAAAGCAGTGCAGATACGATACCCAAGCAGGGCTGAACAATTAACTGAAATCTTATTGAAATCGCAATGTGGCCACATTGGTGCAGTATTTGTTAAAGGCAAAATGTGTGTCAAAATACCATTTTAAGTTTTGTTGATTTTCAATCAGATGTCCTGGCCTACACATATTCATGGCCTACTATATACTCATATTCTACAGACTTAAAACATCTTTTTTCGGTACAGATCCCAAAAACCACCCCATAATTCATTTAAAATGTTTTTCAATTAAAATGAAAATATTTATGTAAAAATTATTGTTCCCTCTAAAATCGCAAATCATATCAGAGTTGCAGTATTACTAAAAACAATCGCAATTAGATATCATTTCAAAATTGTTCAGCCCTATAACCAAGTTTCTGTATCAATACCAAAACCAGGGTTTCGTGCAGTGTTTTATAGCCCAAGACAAAGTCCAGCTCCTGAAGAATAATCTTAATTGGACAAAGCCTAAGCTGACATATACTAGTCGCTTGTTTTTGTCTAACCAGACAAAATATTTAGTTTAATATTGAAGACTGACAATACCAGAAACACTAGAAAGGTGAAGTTTGGCCATTTTTTGG